ATATACATGGGATGTTTCATTTCCGGCGTATTTCGAACGAGACTTTCATCTGGATTATTCTACTTGCTATACATAAAATTTTGGAATGGTTAACAAAGTACTACAAGAGGGAGTCCTTGTCTGACACCCAGGTGCTCATATCATCCAAAAAATTAGAACAGGGGGCATCGGTGGCCCTAACGGTTTAGGCGTAGACACGGCGCTCATCACTGTAAGGTAAAGGTCCGGGGTTCGAATCCAGCGGCCCTGCATTCGAACCCGACATAAACATAAAATGGGCTTTTTTTCAAAAACACCGGCTCCCCGAGGGTTGATATCACCTCTGCTGTTGCGCACCCTCGTTACAAAAGAAATTTAAAAAAATAAATAAATAAAAAAATTTTAAAAATGATAATAATAATAATTTTAAAAAAAGAAGAAGAACGCAGAATTAGAAGAAATGAAAACTTCTTCTCTGGTAACGGACATAAGAGAAATTGTGAATAGTACAAACTACCAGGAAACGTAAAATTGTCATAAGGTAGTCCCCCATGATGGAACGATGAAAAATATAGAAGCAGATGACTTAGTAAAAAAAGCGCAGCACAACTTCACTCATCATCACTTGACGGAAGAATTCTATCAGATATCATCTGCCTACATACTTTGCAGATCATCCACTCCAACACGGCCATCCTGACCGGTAAAAACTAATTCAGTTATTACCGCCAAGCTTTCGACCTTAAGGTCATCATCACAGCAAAACAATTTTAAATATGTCTGCACATTGACAAGATTGTTTTGCCCTGATGATGATCTTAAAATAGGTCAAATGCTTGGCAGTAACAACTGAATTTCGTTTCTTCTTCAAAGCCATACTTTGATCCAAAGTGTTCTTAATATAAGATAACTATATAATGATGCATTGAGTTCAAGTTCATTGTTGGCCTTAGTATAACCTCTTGTAATTTATTAGAAATGTGTGGTGATTAGTGACCGTTAATCGATAATTATTCAGAAATCCTGAGATGCGGTCTGGTGTGATGTAGGTTTCAGAAAAACATTTTCTTTATCGTGCCAACGTTTCGATCTTTATTGAGATCATCTTCAGGGCTAATTGTGGTATGGGGTAATTGTGCCATTCTTGCGTGTCGTGTGGGCACTCTCAACACGACACTCAAGAATGGCACAATTACATAGAAGACAAACACTTTGAGCCGTAAAGATGATCTCAATAAAGATCGAAGCGTGGGCACGATGAAGAAAATGTTTTTCTGAAACCTACATCACACCAGACCGCATCTCACGATTTCTGAATAATTATTTATTAGAAAATTAAAACTAAATTAAGCCGCATTGGATATGTATGTAGAGTAGAGAAATGAAGCAAAAATTTTGTTATAAACGGCATATTTTACGAAAATAATCTTCATACATTTCATCCACAAAGTATTTCATTCATTCACGGAAGTTTCTTCGTGAATTTTTACAGCTTAGATTTGTTGTTATAATCGATTGATTAAATACAGTTTTGTCAGAAAGATTTATTTATGCCTCTATGTTTGCCTCAATTGCCATGAATTGTGCTTACTTTTTCTAAATTAGGCACAATAATAAAGCAAACTACTCGTAAAAAAACAGAAGCTAAATACTTTCTTGGCTTGAAAAATTGTTCTTTTATTGTTCTTTCTTTGTTCTAGTAACCTTCGGCGGACATTTGCCAAAAACCTTTTGGCAGCGCGGAATGTTTGTCGGAAAAAAAAACTCCGGTGGACGAAATCATCCCGCAGGAATCCATTGGGTATGGCTCGCGCTTTGGCCGAGTATTTACAGAAGAAACCACTTAGCATTGCCTTTCAACCCGTCCAGCCATATATCTTCCTCCAGAGATACCTCTCCTCCTCAGTCCTCACCCACATAGCCGCAATGCCCCTCCAGATTACGGATCCATTACTGCCCAGGCCGGAGATGTTTCAATAAATATTTCCCCCTGACCGAAACCGGTTTGGAGATTTTTTTCAATTCAAATAGCTCCCTCTTCATTAAACCGCTTTTAAAATAGGGCATATCTGCAGTTTTATTCGTTCCCTGGTATCATAATTTCAGGGTTTTTTCATTTTTCTCTTTAACGAGCTACATACATATCTATACAAGTTACAATCTCTGGTCCGTCGTCTTTTGCAGTTGTTCGTGGTCTCAAAGATTATCTTATCTTTTTAACTTCGTAGTTTCATCAACCTACATGTACAGAATGCATTAAATAACGGCATTATTACACACTAATAATGAATAAAATAAATAAAATGTGTTTGAGGACCAGATAATCAAAACATTTATTATTTTTAGTTTTAAAAATCCTTCGAAAAAATCATAGATCATTAAATAACTAAATCAACTAATACTAAGGTCTGGAGGGTAATGAAAAGCAGGACGAGGCAGCTAAGGCCAGGACGTCCCAACCTCCGGAATTAACAGCAATCCAGCTCTCTGTCTTTTAAAAATGCGATAAAATCCATTATTAAAAGAAAATAGTAGCGTTGGTGGGCTGGATCAACAGAGCTCTCGCAGTGTCAATGATGAGAAGATATGACCCATAGAAGGGGGGTCATCCTTACCCGATTAAGGATTGGCCATACGAGGTTGATACATGGACACTTAATTTTGGGCCAAAGTCCGCCTATCTATTCGGCATGCAGAGAAAGGTTGCTCAATGTGCCCCACCTAATCGAAGAGTGCAACTCCTTGGCTCTATATAGAGAGCATGTAGAAATGCCACCCGATATGAGAATTGTAGAAGTATCTGGGTCCCGTGTTCCTATTCTTGGATGAAACAGGATTGTTTTATTATATATAGTGTGGATATTGTTGTACACCATAGTGAGTGTTGAGAGTCAATGTATTTATTAGCGTGAATGGTAGTGTGAAATGACTGATGGCAGAATATTGAGTCCTCCATCAACCCTCAATTAGATTAGTTATATATCATTGAAAATGGTGACTGGTTCATTTGGTGGATTGTGGATTTAGGAATTGTTGGTATTGAAATAAACTAGATGTTGGTTGTTAGCACCCAGAGCCCAACCCCAGCAGCCGGATGAATAAAGCCGAAGTCTGACTTTGGACTGTCCACACCTGGGGTGGGTAATTTTTAAGACCTTTCAGTACTTTGATGTACATTACAAAAGCTGGAATTGCTGATGGACTGCAAGAAGTGACGGGCTAAATGCTGTATATGCATTTATGTATGTACATGCACAGATTTGAGCTAATATAATTCAATGATCAAACTAGTACTAAACATAAGAATGTAAAGTCACACATAATTCAGTGCCCTAGCTTCATACAGAAAAGAAGTAAGTATGCCATTCGATTTGAGCTGTACATAAACATAACAAAACGTTGGTGGTGGGTGTTCGTCTCTGAGGACAGCAAAATACATTTTCTATCATATAAGGACCAGGACAAAAATATAATTAATAAATTATTGTTAAAATGGATTTGAATGTAAATGAAATAGATATACCTATCTCTAGTATATTGTTAAATGCATTTTTTTTAATCATCACAAAATTTTGGATAAAAATTTAGTTAACTATTTAAGTAGGTCCAAAGTAATAATATATTGAACGAGCTATGGTCAGGATTCAAAAGAGATATTCAACTACCATTAATTTACTAAGCTTAATTACTACAAAACTGAAAACTAGACAATAAAAATGTAAGTTGTATTTATTATTGTAAAGCAGTACTTGACAATATAAAGACCTTTTTTTCATAAACTAACTAAAATAGGGATTTCTACTAAATTCTTACAACATGGAAAACATACATTTATGTGCAATGAATACTCTGAATGCTTTTACATAGGACCTGGTGTCATGCAAGGCTGTGTTCTAAGCCTACTGCTGTTTAACCTTTTTAACATTTTCTTAAATGATACATAAACATATGGGGGGGTTCAAAGGAATCAGGATGAGATGCTATCTTTAGACCATAATTTTTTGGTGGTATACCTGAAAAATGATAAATCAGCTACAGAAATATTACAATCAATGGGACTTACAATCATTAAGGAAAAATCAAAGATTATGGTCTTGAGAAAGGGGGAAAAACAAGAAATAGTAATTAGGAAACAAAAGAATCGATAATTATGATAAAGGTGGGGTATGTTGTTTAATCTCTTTACAAGTTACAATTTTGACAAAAATATTTCTTAAAGAGATCAAAAGAATTGATGTCATTGGCAGATAAATATACCTGGGGTTACTTTTTATGCTGCAGTTATCTTTCAGATAGCATTTATCCAAAAAGTGTTTCGACCTCGATTAATCCAATTGGAAAGCAACAAATCCCTTGTCAACTTAAATAACAGATTTTTGTAGTGTTTCAATGGTCATAGAGCTTTTCATCCTAGGGATGCAGATTTCAAATGGGGGGGCAGACTTCTCAGGAGTAGAAGCAAGCCATTTTTTAAGGAATATATTTTCACAGACAAAACAAACACCAAACTACAAAGTTTGTCTTTAAAAAGAAGCTGTTGTTGAAAGCCAGTTTCCCTGAAAAACTAGTAGGCGAGTTTTGATTGATGTGTTACACCTGCAATCCATTTTACAATAAATCAGTAGGTATCCTTGGAACACAAAAAGTAAATAAAAACAAAAATTTAACAATTCTCAGCAGTTAATAAAATATGTAGAGTTAAAAGAAAACTTAATTTTATCAATAAAATTGAAATGACATAACACTCCTATAATAATAAAGATGATGTTCTCGAACAGTTGTTAATATTATTATTATTATTATTATTAATTTCATTAGATTTTGTAGTCCAATTGACCAAATAACATCTTCTCTCAATTAATTATTCTTTATGTAAGGTATTGGTTGAGATAAAAATTAATAATAATAAAATAATAAATTGATTAATTATTAATATTAAGAATAACCGCCAAAAAGGAAGAAAAAATTAATATCCAGAAAAATAATTTTAAGTCAAAATGTACATGTATTTAACAAATTGGTAAAATCAATAACTGACATTTATTACCTTGTCCACATTGGTGAATATATTAAAAAATAAAACATTTTAAATGTTTGATTTTGGAAAAACTGATATATATGTGTATATGTAAATAGACAGACTTTTCAACACTTATGCAACACAATAAAAATCAGATATTAATGCATTTCCTTACATGTTTTCTACATAAAATTTAAGAAAACAACTAAAGAATACACGTTACAAACTTTAAAGCTAATAAAATAAAAATTATATTAAAAGTACAAACAATATTTAGAAATGTTTATAATTTTTCAAGTATGAAACAATGAAAGAAAAAAGGGAACTATAATAAATTCTTTTATCTAGACATTATTTATAATTATTTTTAAAAATCTGAGACATTTAGCAAAATGATCGGCTAAATTGTTCATTTCAAACTCAGAGAAACTGATAGGAGGTATTTAGAAAATTAGAAGTTTCTAATCATCGATGATTGGCCTGTCTTCTCAGAAGGACGTATATCTTCTCCTTTATCCAGTCTTTGTTGTATGGTGCATACGTATTTGTACCTTTCTGGTATCTGTAAAAGTCAAATCAGTAAAACAAAGCGTTCTATGATTACTTAAAAAGTACTTGTACTTACACCAAACATGAGAGATCAGCCAGAGCATCAATGAAGTCGAACAACTGGCTTATGTCATAAGTAATAGCAGGAGTGTTTGGATTCTGCCTCTTTAAGTGTTCTTCATAAATCTTGCACACACCTAAAATAAAAATGTTCAAATTTTGCAACTAAATCATTAACAAATGATTTTATACGTATATTTTTGTAAAGTGGTTTCCTTCATCCCAAGCCCGACAGATGTAAAGTTATCACTATTACGTAATTTCAATAAGGCACAACACAATTTAATCATTGCCAAAATAGTCAGTAAGGAAATTTTTTATTAAAATTTTTTTGACAAATAAGGAAATTGTGAGATTTCCACCTGTGGTATGCTGGGTAATGAACCTGTTCCTTCACAGACATTCTGTAGAAAGCAAAATGTCAAAACGCGTCTGACAGTCCTACCCAGCAAGGATAGGCAGAACAAAGATGATCAATAAGGATCAAATTTCAAATAAGGAAATCACTTGTATCCTACAGAAAAGCCTTCTTTGTCTCAGCAAGTCACATTCTCAGAAAGAAGCCTCTTACTTAAGACAAGCTCCATAAACACTTATCCGATAAAGCAAAAAGTGACATAAAATGTTTTGCCCCTCATCCCTGCAAATAGAAATCAATATGCCAAAAATTGCTAAAGAAACAGTCAAACCTCAGATAAGGCCATTCAAACTTTTTTTTTCATTTCCTGAATAGCCATATCCAAATACCATTTTTAACATTTATGTTTTAATTTGTTATTTATATTTTGTCATTTAATATCTCTCAAAAAGTTTACAATTGATCTGTAAACTTGCAAATTATTTGAACTCAGTAGAGCCAGATATTGAAAAATGGAATTGATATATTTGGGGTATATCATAATAAGATGTTCGACTGAATCTATTTCTTTTGAATTAGTGATATTTATTTCCAATAAATACTCGTATATAGCATGGTTAGAGCGTATGTATTCCCCCGTGCACATCTGCCCGATGCCACACAACGCTACCCTACTCTACGCTATGCAATGCAACCAAGTTCTCCACTGTCCAGTTTTTCAGCAACTAGCATCGAGTACAGTCTAAGACAAACGAACCAGACACATATTTTTTTTTTCAAACTAAATGTATTATTGCCGTTATATTAATTTCACACTTATTTTAATATAAACCAAATTAAGCGAGATTAAAAATTCATTAGTTTTTATTTTTAAAAATTAATTTTAAAGGTTTGGCAGAAAATTGAACAAAACACCGGAATACCCTTTTTGATAGAATGAATTTAACTAACAATTTATTACATCGTTTTGCTAATAAAATTTAACTAAAATTTATTACACGGTTTTGCTCATAAAATTTAACTAATAATTTATTGCATGGTTTTGTTCATAAAATTTAACTAACAATTTATTACATGGTTTTGCTCATAAAATTACATAATTTTACGTCGAGTAGCATCAGAAGCGGACACTCATGTTTTTTGTATTTTATTTCAAACTATGTATGTCATTTTGTCGTTATATTAATTATAACATGCTTATTTTAATGTATGCCAAAATAAACGACATCACAAATTCATGAGTTTTTATAAAAATTATTTAATTATGATGGTTAGGCAGAAAATTGATCAAAACACCAGAATAGCATTTTTGATAGAACAAATTTAACTAACAATTGATTTGCTCATAAATTTAACTAAAATTTATTACACGATTTTGCTCAAAAAATTTAACAGATAATTTATTAAATGCTTTTGTTCACAAAATTTAATTAACAATTTATAACATGGTTTTGCTCATAAAATTACATCATTTTCATCGAGTATCTATTTATGTAATTTTGTCGTTATATTAATTACAACATGGTTATTTTAATGTAAGCCAAATTAAACGAGATCATAAATTCATGATTTTTTATAAAAATTATTTAATTATGATGGCTAGGCAGAAAATTGATCAAAACACTGGAATACCATTTTTGATAGAATGAATTTAAATAACAATTTATTACATGGTTTTTCTCATAATAATGCATTAAGAACAAAACAAGCGTTGCAATGTGATACTGATTTGTAATACACGCTGTGTGACTGTATGTGGCATGCGCTTGATGTTGAACAGATGTGCACACCCTATCAAAACAAGACAAGACGTAGTGTAGCGTTGCATCGGATAAATGAGTTCCCTGCTTTATTGCTAAGCCAGCCATTGACTTTGTTTAGACTTTCTTGCATTTCTTCTCCAAGAGTAATGACTTTTTTTTTCCTGACAATGAACAACTAGGCCGTCTGAATAAAAGCATTCCTTTACATGGGTTTTTATGTGTTTAAGTGCTTCATTGTAGGTCCTTCATTGTCAGAATTAGAATTAGAATTACGAGACATCCTAGGACGCCTCTGGCATCTCCCCGGGGGAGTCGCCCACCTTTGTGCCTGAGCGACTCGGAGGTTGGGTTCTTATCAGGCACCATCGACTTCTCTGGTCATTTCGGCGCCCTTACATTCTCTAAAACTAGTCATTCTCACACTCATTCATACAATAAATACATACTAGGATAAACAAACCCAATCACATATGCATATCCTGTTTCGAATCCGGGTCGGAGAGTAGTCGATATTCCACCCTGACCCAGCTTGGTCGAGCAGCAGTGGAGCCTTGAGATAATATGCCGCCCAGCATACTCCTATTCTATCATAAACTTAACATATGACCTATGAGATAAATACCCCACTATATACAACCCATTATTCCAATATCTCTCAAAAACCTAAAAAGTTTTTCTTTAAACTCGCTGCTCAAGCATGGCTCCTACACTCCGGCAGTATTCCATTTCGGTCCTTATACAGGGCCAAGCTGCGACACCCCTCCAACACGTGCGACACCGTGAGTCTGTTATCTTGGCATGCTGGGCACACAGAAAAGAGTTGGACTGAGTGCATTTCCCTGCAGTACATTTTATTGTATAAACTCCTCTGAGAGAGAAGCTCCTCAATGCACCCTAAACTATCATTCCTCTAGAAAATTCCTAATGAAGGTTAACGTATTACCGTTTATACCAAAATACTGTCCAGAATAAGACTCCTCAAAGTTCTGTCAAACGAATTATGCACATCAGTTAATTCTCGTAACTAATATCGTTACCCTGTGACCCATACTGTCAAACTAATCAAACAAGTCAAATAGTCGACATAAACGCAATTTTAATTGTTAATAAACCATGGGATTTTTTTACACTTACCCTCGAGGCATTCGTTGACGGATTCGTAGTCTGAGTAAGTCCTAGTTTCGGCTTTTGGCCCCGGTTGGATCAGCATGATTGTATGTGCCTTGAAAAAAATTGAATTTGAAATTTCAAAATTGGACATTCTCAACTTTGACTCACCATTGTCAATCTTCGGAGTCGAATCGGCCTCAACTAACAAACGTCCGCCGGTTTGACGGCGCGGTTTACACTTATTTCAATAGTGATGAAGACGGAGGAAAAAAGGTTTAAAATACGAGGAGTGATCGGCGAGGAAACAGTGGACAACAAACTAGTTGGGATGTGTTCACCGACTCGATATATCAAAATATCGATACTTTGGCATAAAATCCCTATACTATTGCTTATTCTGCATTTACATAATTCATTTTTTGTTTAAATATTATTCTATGTTCGTAGATATTCCTCTGAAACAAGAAATTTTACTTTCTCTTTTTAATTAAATACCTCAAATAAATCGATGGTTCAACTTTTCGATTTCGATACATTGATTCGATATTTTATTTATTTTTTATGTATCCACTTAATTTATTTATTTTATTTATTTGTTCCCCCATTTACAAATATGTACCATAAAAGTATAAAGGTTATAACTGTACATAAATTTAGAAATATTTATAATTTAAAAAAAATTAAATTTTATTAAAACAATTTGAAATCTGTATTAAAACGTTATAATTATCAATTAATAACTATAACCAAATTCAATATTCATTAATTATATTAATGATACAATGTTTAATTTTCTAATAATAAAATTTGCAAGGTCATCCGACAGGCTCTTGCGAGACAAGAGATGGCCCTCTGTGAACCTGAGACGGAGACGAAGGATCATCCTCACCTGATTGAGGATTGGGCATACACGATTGACACATGGACACCTGCTTTTGAGCCAAAGCCTGCGCAGGTGGTGTCCCACATAAGAGACATGTCATGCCTTGACTCCGTGCAGAGAGCGTGTAGGCATACCGCTGGATTTAAGAATGGAACTCGAGCCTAGCAGTCGTTTACTTGGTCCTCCGTTTCATTTTGTAGAAGTCATGGGAGTATTTTACTGTATATAGTTATATTCCATGCGTTTTGTCATTATGTGTGTTGTTTGATTGCATGTATTTATTAGTGTGAGTGGTGAGGGGTGATGGTGAAATATAGTGTCACAACGCCCTCAAGCAGTGTGTGTATCTAGGTTCGATGGCAGAATATTTATAAAAGTACCTCACTGACCCTAATTTAGGTTAGATTATTAATACTGTGTATAGGTCGATGGAGGAATATCCAGTACTCCACTGACTAAAAAGAATGAGTGCAATGTATTTGTATTAGATGGATTTATTTGTGCAAGTGATCTATACAATTTAGGCAGTAACAATAGCTAGATTAATTTAATAATCAATGTCACAGGAGTGAGAGAAATGCCATAAAAGAGCAATGGCTCTGATTGATTAACTATAAAATATATAAAAATAAATTTAAAAAAGAAAAGAAAAAGTTCAAGCCTGCAAGTACTGGAATAAAAAAAAGACCCCCACATTAGTTTCGGCCTTTCTACATTCAATCCCGTATATATACTCACTACATAAAAGCTTTGCTGACCCTTTATACCAGCTAGATTATAGGACTTTGACAAATAACATTGACACAGTGTTTTTAAAAGACTACTCGAAGTCCGCTCAACACTTAGTACAGAAGGAATTTATAGCAGACATGGCTGAAAACTATCCAGACCACCGGCAAATTTTTACGGTTGGATCACTCTTGGATGGCAGGGCAGGTTGCGCTATTTTCGATTACAAAAGTAAACATAAAGAACAGTATGCTCAAACTCAATCACTGTCTACACTGCGGAATTAACCGCCATAGCTAAAGCGCTTGAATACATAAAAAAAAGGAATGAAACTAAATTCTGCATATTAACGGACTGACGAAGCGCTGGAGATAGTATAAGTAATGTAACCCCAAGCTGCAAAGTTAATAATTATATCATTGCGGATGTTTACCGAAAGATCTTTGAGCTAAAAAAAGATGGAAAAACTGTGATAACATGCTGGATTAAAGGTCATGCGGGTATTCTTCATAACGAAACAGTGGATGCGTTGACGAAGGAGGCCACTGTATATGGTGTACCTCATCAGTTGAAAATTCCTAAAACAGACGGAAATTTTTTTTTCAACAAATTGTTCCAATCTATGGGATAAAGAATACAGCTCAGCAACAGCTCTTGATTACTATCGAGCTTTATTCCCAAAGCTTAAAGCAAAGCCGTGGTTTTCGGAAGGAGGCAGGCAAAAGGAATGCTCCTCTACTATTTTCAGAATCAAAACTAACCATGGCCTGTGGGGGAGTTATAGGCATTGAATTGGAATGCACTTCCCCTAACTGTCCAACATGCGATAGTCCATCAAATCCCAGTCATCTAATACTAGAATGCCCAGAGTACAATAACCAGAGGAAACAATTATTGGATGATCTGCATAGGGACCCCAGTATAATGGGCCCAATAAATCTTGAAACGCTGTTGGCAAGTAACAACATGACGGTCTTGCATTTAATTTATAAATTTCTTAAATCAATCAACATTTCCTTTTAACGTCCGGGAGAAGAATAAAAAATTTAAATAAATGAATAAATATTATATGGCAATATTTCCAATGGGGAAAAAAACAGAAGAGTTGACAATAGTATGGTAATATAGTGTAAAAACCTTTTTTCAACCGCTTTTATGTGATTGTTATGGATGGATTGAAAGGGAGCCCAAAGAGGAAATTGGAAATTGAGACTAATTACTCTATCAATATTTTTTTACACATCCATACAGAGTATAATATATTAAGATATAAGGAGAGAATAACTTAGATAAAAATAACTTACAAAGTAATAACAACTTAGATAAACAAGTTATAAAGAATTTCCGGGATCACATTCATTTCTTTTTCATTATTTTCTGATTTTATTAATTATTTTTGTGTGCCTGAATTCTTTAGTTCTCACCCAATTTTATTGTTGGAGCCTAAATGAACTTTTCCTAGTTTCTCCTTGTATAAATCTTTCCAATGGAGGTAGGTTTAACAGAATTTCTAATGCAATAGGTAGGGTTGTTCTCATTACCCCTGAGATATACAGGTTTTAATCTTTATATGCTGTCTATGTTTGGGCAGCTTGTTTTTGTTGAGCTTTGGCCACCCAGATTACTGATGCATAGGTTATTTTGGGTCTTATTACTGCCTATATAGCCAATGGGCCGTTATCACTGGCGTTTTTGTGGTTATTAGCAATATTTTCCTTTTTGTTATGCTGTGTTGCAGGTGAGGGTTCCACGTAATTTTTTTTATCAAAGATTATCTCGAGGGATTTAACCTCGTTTTTTAACTTCATTATAGAAGAACAGGCCTTGTATTTCTGTTTCTTCTCTTGGTAAATGCTCCTGATCTTCCATATCCATCTTTCCATCCTTTATTTAACATGGTACACCCACATAAGCTTTGAAAAGATGGAAAGTCGGATTTGTGTATTAGAGGCTATTAGTGGCCTTTGTACCCCAAACTGGCAGGATGATCAATAGCTTTATTTTTTCTTTATTTTTAGTTTACCTTTATTTTAAGTTTATTTTTGATTGGTACATTTTTGTTTTAAGTACATATACTAATTTGTAAAACCTAACGAACATCCATTGGATAATTTGCAAAAGGATCTTTTCTTTAACCTAATTTGTTGTTTAATTTGAATTATTATTACTATTATTATTGGCCGAACCATCACTAACACATTTTTCCCTTCGTCGGCTCTTTTCACCTCAAAGAAGCCGACGCCTTATAGAAAAATGTCTTTTCTATACCGACATACTTCCCCACCCCTTCAAAATCCAACGTATATAAACACAAAATAGCAAAATCTCACTGGCACTCTCGACACGACACGCAAGAATGACACAATTACACAGAAGACAAACACTTTGAGTGAGTAGAAATACTTTGGTTGAATATATAAAAAATATGTATTGCATTGTATAAATTCACTTTTCCACATCCAAAATGTAAATGTTATATGTAAACAATGTTTGTAAATCCCAGGCCCTGAAGATGATCTCAATAAAGATCGAAACATTGGCACGATAAAGAAAATGTTTTTTTGAAACCTACATCACACCAGACCGCATCTCACGATTTCTAAATAAGTTTCAAATAATAAAAACCGTGTATTCCTTAGTATCGATTAATGAGGATTCAGCAACATCAAAGGTGGAAAAAAGAAGAGAACGTACGTTATTATAAGATATCATTATTTCAGTTTTACAACAATAAGTTTCAAAAAATATGAAAACTCTCTACGCAAGCCCGGTGAAACCTTACGAAAATAAATTGTTACTGACCACAAACTAAATTAAGTTAGGTTTAGGATTATTCAGGTTTTGCTACCGATTTCTAAATAAATAAATTACTATTATTAATTTTTTACACGCCCTAGCATTTAAACCTTCTATCTTAGTAAATCCATTATATTTAGTGGCCTGATTGACCAAATTACTTCTTTCAATTAATTAATCTTTTTATGTAAGGTCTTGGTTGAAATGAAAAAGTTAGAGTTACGAGCAGGATTCGTGCCGAAGGTCATGAGTTCGAACCCCGCTTGTGACACTAATTTCTATCTTAGGTTAGCCTCATCATAAGCCCTTATGATTGTTAAAAAGCTCTGACTCCAAACATTTACTCATAAACTACTATCCTATTGCCATCCAAAGCTTTAATTTTTCCTTTTAAATTACTTAATTACTTAAATTACTTAATTCCTGTTCTTTAATTAAAATTTCGAATATTTGGTTAGGGAGTCAGATAAGCAATAGTTTCAGCAGGAGTACAGGCTCATAGTTATCCTTTTATTCTTCCGTTCCAATACTATAAATACATTAATGCTACATAACAATAATAATAATAATAATAATAATTTTGTTTTGGCATTGTAGTTTATTACCCCGTAATTCGTATTTTATTTTAGTTCATTTTTGAATTATGTGCGGTTTCATTCCATCAAACATTTTTTTTAATAATCTTTTAAAAGGTTGTTTTACTCCAAGAGATTTTCCATAGGTAATTGATTTATGATAGTTTTTGAAATTAATAATTTTCTAGCTTTGCCCAAATTTTCTTTTCTTGTATGATCCATTGTGGGCTCTAGGCCTTTTTTTATATTTTTAATTCATATCCTTTTGTTGTTATTTCATTATTTAATTGAATTATTTGAAGCTTTCGTCTTTGGAAATATAGACAAAGGTGGTTATATAAATAT